TATACATATATATGTACACCATGGTGCTCGTTGGGAGTAGATGCGGTTCATGATGGCGGAACCAGAGAACCGTTGCAACGATGACAAGAAGAGTTTACGAAACAAGGTTAACTAAAGGCCAGACAACAACGGGTACATTTTATTAGCAGAATTACTCATGTTATTAATATATATTATGTGACCTGTATGTGCCTAACTCATGCGAAACTCATCTTGTACATTCCGGAATATTCGCTGTGAAACTTTGAGCCTTAAGTTCATTCTCATTCGATTTGGAGTTTAGCAAAGTGGCAGGTCGTAGGACGAAGCGAGACGTGACGAAACTCTAGCCGTGAGCGTAATCGCTCAAAGTGTCATAGAAACCGTCTTCAACGTTCTGTCTAGCGTAACTGCCTGAGGAGGGCACTGGGTGGCCTGGAATTGCGGAATTCAGGAATAATGGGGGAATCGACCAGACTTCATTGTAGGGTCCATGGATGATTTCAACCAATGTTTTATCGATATATTTCATCGTCCGCCACCTGCATCTCGGTTAAATACCCAAACTTGACCTTAAAAGGTAACTCACAGCTTAGAACCCTCAAAATCAGATGGTAAACAAGGGTCACCAAATGGACGTATGATGAACATGTTGGTGGAGGACGGTGTTAAACTAGGCTGCATTATCATACGGCACAACCAATCGGAAGCAGAGCGGTAGATCGATAAATACTGTTAGTCGTGATATTATTGGTTCACATTTTGTGCCAACTGTCTTATTCTTTTTCAGTTGACAGGTGCTTACACACAAGGCTGAATCATTTTTGCTCTTACACGCAGCCCAAGCAGATCACATGATTGCTCTCCCTTTATGCTTTAGAAAAAATCGATACGCCTTCCTCAAGTTTGGTCTAATTGGTGAAAATGTTCAGGTCACGTGAATCAGAGCAGACCAACCTCGAAAACAATATCCAGTGGAACCGTTGTCTCTCTTAGTGGTCTTTGAAGGTAGCTGGATTCTTGTCAGTTAGGGAAATACGTCAGATATTTTTGAAAAAATCCACTCACCAACATCAATTTGGAAGTTCCATTTTACAACATCCCGAAGCGCTGTTTAGTCTCAATCGATAGAGCACGCTCTGCTTATTGCAAATTGCCCAATATTGAGGTAAAAGTTTGTTGGAAGCTTCTATTGACTGTTTACCGGAAGTTGCAGTCCTACGCTATTGTTTACCTTTGATCGGATTCCGATCACCCTTTCCTGAAGTTCTTTTATGGTGTTGTCTTTGTTTAAACAGACCGAAAGATGTAGGCTTTTTGCGAGTGTTCTTGTCTAAGCCAAATGTCCGCCTTTGTGTTCGCCTTTCGAAAGCCGCTGATTAATTATCTACCGGCAACATATTCCTTCCTATTTCAGAGGAGCTTGATAAACAATCGCTAGTTTTTATTTGGGCAACGTTTCGCTTTTTACACGAAAGTTTCATCAGGCCAAGTTTCGTTTTCCCCCTAGATTTGTGAACTTTAGTCTCTAAAAATTGGTCCGCTTTCTATTTCTGGTAGTCAAACTCTGGAATGTTGTTTCAAGTGGACTCACTAATCTGACTTTAAGGGTACATGATCAATGAGTGCCTTTAATGGTGAGCACGTGAGTGAACCATTCTGCAGTGTATCATTCTTCAGGAATATCTCTGTTTTAAAGCATTTAGTTCTACGTTTCAGAAAGGTTTGGGAAACAATCGGTGGATTTATTCCTGGACAAATTTTCGCTTTTGACACAAAAGCTTCGTCAGGCAAAGTGAGTAAGTAAGTAGGTTGATTGGGTTTTAAGGCAGTCAGGGAACCAATCGGTGAGATTTCTTATGACTGGTCAATTTGATCAGTACTGGTGTCAGCCTGAAGTTCCTGTTTGCTGTTTAGTCGGGATGACTAAAATTTATGATTAGGGTGGTTGTCTTCCAACTGACTAAAAATACCTAATTCTACGTTTTTTAAACGCCATCATAGCAATTGTTGCAACAGTCTGTTAGCTGTGGCACCGAAGTGCTCTCCGGCCTTATCCTTCGAAGGTTGACTGAACACAAGGAGAGGCAGATCCGTGAAAACCAAGCTGGGTTCCATCCTGCAAGAGGTTGCATCGTTAATATCTCCACCCTCCGACAGATTCTGGAACAGTGACACTGCTTCCAGCAACCAACAATGGTTGTTTTCCTTGATCTG